CTGAGTCACAGACAGTGAATGCAATGTCTCCTTTTTGAAAGCTGTTTATCTGAATTATTCAGATTAAAGATTTCAGAGGTTTGAAGTGATCAGATTTTCTTACTGGCATTTGATGTTATAATAATGTTTGTTTGCAGATAGGATATATATTCCCTTAAAGACAGCTTAAAATAGCTGTTAGTTCCCTATCAAAATTTAAAATTTAGGTGTTGCAAGTGTGTTTAGGAAATAGGCTAGCTTTTATAAAGTCTAGCTGTCTGGAACGTTATTGTGAAATAACATAAAGAAATGTTAGGTGTTGAACCTTGAGCTGGCCAAGCACCTCTCTCACCCATGATAAAGGATGGTGATCTCAATTTATGGTTGTGGTACTGGAAATTATGTCTGTTGTTTTTTTCTTTAATACACAGCTTTTCAATGGAATGCTATGTTATGTATGGGTAGGTCAAGTAAGATAAGTTCTTACAGCATTGCAGAATGAAGTCATGGTTGAACACATGGTACCAGCTACACACTGTCCGAGTTTTTGCTGATACACTGGATTTGAATTTGTACCTAGAGAAAGAGTATGTTTGCAAATGGTATCATGATCCCTTAGCCATAACATTTAATGGATTATTGAAGTTGTTGCCTTGATCCCATCTGATCTGCACGGGTACCTGAATAAGGCTGAAATCACAGAAGGTTTCAAATGTGCTAGAATTCCTGGGACAGAGTTCAGGCTGAGCTGGATGGCTCCAGTCGGCAGCAGGTGTCTGGAATCACTGAGGTTTGGCTTGGGACAGACCTAAGGGACCTTGCTGTCTACACCTTTTCTCCAAGCCAGGATGTGATACAGATACAGTCTGGTCTACTATAAATCCCCTTACCCTCCAAAAGCCAGAGAATGATAGGTAGGTCTTGCCAATGCCAGTTGATTTTTAATACTTCAAACATTTTCCCAGTGAGTCACATATACACTGAGAAGATGAATATCTGTTCCTAATTTTCTATTTAGGCATTTAATTTTTCTTTCTTTCTGATCTGTGGTATTTCATGTGTGACTTCGGTCTCATTTTTGCAACGTTTTTCCTGGTTATAATGGTAATTTTAAACTCTTACCCTCTCTGTTAGGTGTTTGCAGACTCTTTTGCTTGTAAAACCACCTAGAGGTTTTGCAGTTTACTCTGTCATTGTCCAAGTCAAGACTAAGTACATAGAAATTACCTGTAACAAGCACAAGTTATAATTTGACAAAGGACTAGTAATTAATAATATGAGTTAAATGTATACTTCTGTCATCTGGGCTATATTCCCTTGTTACAATAGTGTTACATAAGACAATGTCAAAAGACACATTAAAGATATGGTAACTTGTGATGTACTCATGATGATGTTCTGTATTGCTCACCTAGTACTTCTTTAATATCTGTTTTTGTTGTCTCTCTGGGTATATGTACTTCCTGAGAGTCACCTTTTACAATCTTAAAACCAGATTTGGTACATCTCCAAGCTGTCTGTCTTGAATGAATTTCTGAAGATAATCATTAGCAGTTACACTGTTTGTCCAGGTAAATTCCTTTGAGGCGCTCAAAGGTAAATTTCACCAGGATCTGCTGACCTGAATATATTAAACTTGCCAAATGTCTTGTAGCTATTTCTTTGTGTTCTGTGGATCGTGCTCCTATGATGCATTTGTCATCTTGTTTCTGAAAGCTGTCATTGTCTGTTTAAAAAGCCAGGGGTCCCTTGCATACAGAGGAAAGTTTGACAAGTACCAAGTGAGCCATGTCTGACTTGAATTGTAGACAACCTGAAATAGGGTCTCGGAAGGAGGATGTATGATCTGTTCCATTGACCTTAATTTTGAAATAAAAGTCTTTGACCTGTCACAGTTAAAAGAAAAATTTGAAATACAGTCAATGCAAATATTTTTAAGCCCTGTTAGAAAATTCAGACAAGATGCAGCTGGCACCATGTGTTCAACCATGAGTTCATTCTCCAATGCTGTAAGCACTTACCATAGTTGACCTAACCATTCCTTGTAAAGGAAATAGACGTGTACTGCCCTATTCATGTTGAGCAAGCTGAGGCAGAAGGGACCAGAGAAAGCCTTCTCGAACACAGGTCCGCCAGTTTGTTTAATAGACCCTGTTCCTGCATTTAATGGAGTGCATACAAGAAAACTGTAGATGGAAAATGACTCTTGGCAAAACAGAAATTTTATTAGAAATATCTGCTTTCTATTAAGTTTCTTTTGAGAGAAAGAAGGGATTTTTTGTGCAGTTTGTCAGTGGAAGCACTTTCTTTCAAAGTTGCGTTATTGTTTTTTAAATTTTTTTTTGCTAATCCAAATTTCCAATTTGTTTTCCCTCACACTTGGTAAGAACAAGCAAGTAACAGTTTGAGTGGCTGACCTCTGCACACTGTCAAGTTCAGATTCTGCCTTCTCATGCTCAGTCCTTGTGTGGTGTTTGCTGGGGCACTGCCTCAGCCACCAGGAGGTGGGAGCTGCCCAGTCAGGCTGTGCCCATTGGGGTGTGCTCAGCCTTGGGCTGCCCACTCTGGAAAGCTCTGCTTTCCACCCCTCTGAGCTTCATGGCACTGCTCCTCTGGCAGGGGAAATGAAGAAAAGGAAACTGATGTGATGTGGGAGAATAGAAAGTTGGGCGTCAGCCTGTGGTTAGGACTGCACTGACCACGGCTTTGCAGTGTGTTCAGTGAAGACAGGGCAAGCAGAACTTGGCTTTTGTGGGTTTTACAGTTCTCTCTGTTTCCTGAGTTACTTCGTAGAATTTTTCCATAATTAGCAATATGTCAGTTGAGAGTAGTGATTTGGCCTCTTGCTAGGACAGCCTCAGGATTTGTAGCTTCATGTATTAAAACAAATTAAGAATATTTAAGCAGCCAATGCATTTTCTGAGTTGCTGTGTGCTCGCTGATGGCCAGGTGTATCTACCTTTCTCCAGCTTCAAAATAAATGGTTTAATGATTATATGCTGTTTCAAAACAGAAAATGGGAGGGACCTTTCTCCATTGTTTTAAGACCTGATTAGCACTCTGAAATGTGTTCCTCTCTGATGGGAGAACAAATGATGGCTAAAGGAGTTTAAATAATGTTTGTACATTAATGAGACATTGTTCTCAGGAGCCTTTTGCAAGGTGTGGTTTTGGGTTTATCAGAAGAGCTTTTTTCTGTTTTCTTCTCATCATCCCCCACCTCCCATATCTACTTTTGGGTGGCTGAAGTACAGTGATACTGGAAGTAGAAAAGGGAAACAGATTTCCAAGTATGTAAGTGTTTTCCAGATCTCATGGCAGCCCACCAGTCTTCACTCCTATCGCTATTTTTGCATGAAATATCACATATCATATTCTCCTCTTGTTTTTCTGTTTTTAATGGTTTTCTGTGTGGGTTTTTATTAATTTTTTAAAATTATTATTATTAAGTTTATTTTTTTTCCTCAATTTTGCAAGTTTGGACCTAGAGTCTTAGCCAGGATGCTAACAACTGGACTTCTTAAAGTAAAGGATTAAAGGCTGATCTACCAAATTGGAAATGTTTTTTGTTTATCAAAAAAATTTGCATTATTTATTTTACTTTATTCCTTTTCAGTTTTCTATCTAAAAGCTGTAGTTGTAAAGAAATGTGATAAAACAGTAGATGTGTATTACTGTACTTATCATCCTCAATTTTCATTTATTTTCCCTGAAGCTCTCTTCTCAATTTTGAGATTGGAAGGGTTAAATTTAGGGAGAGAACACTCCCACAGATTAAGTCTCATGAGCATCTAATTTTTAAATGAACAAGAGCACAGAACAAAAAATCTACCTGGGAACTTCATTCATGTTAATTCTTTTTTAAGAAATAAATTTGGTTCTTAATTGTGAATTAGGAAAAGTGGATATATTGGAAAAAGTATAAGATAATGTTTAACTAACACATACATTAGTTCTTCACTCTCTTCCATACTGTTGCTTTTTGCAGTCCTGGACGCACATAATTGCAGTGTCATCCATTAAGAAAGAAGCTTTCAGATGAAGAAAGGGTGGGAGAAGGATATTTTCTTGTACTGTAAGCTGTTAAAGATAGGGACTTTCTTTTGCCTCAGGAAATGGTGCTCTGCTCTTGTGCAGTTCCTTCATTGTTTTAATGCAAAGTAATGGCACTGTTAAGAATAATCTGTTTTATCTGTGCCTCTGAGTCTGAAGTCATCATGTGCCACTGGAAGGCAATAGAAAAGCTGTGCTGTGTATAACTTTAGCATCATTTGGCAGAATGACTGTGGGATTGTGTTTGTGCTGTGCAGATTTTAAGAGGATACGTTCTTGGCTGATAGCTGGGTTGCTGGCTTGGAGAAACAGTTGACTGCTTTTTGTCCTTGACTACAGTCTTCAATTTGCCTGGTTTTGCTAGTTCTTCTAGATCAGTCAACAACAACAGCAGTCTTACCCTAATTTAATGTTTGGCAAATGCTTCTTGCACAGGCCTGTTCATTCTAAAACTGTGGCAAATGTGCTTCCCAATACAGTATTGTTGAAATGCAACAACTGTGACACTGAGCACAGTGTAGGACAACCCTGCCCAGCAGTGTGGAGCGGGCATTTTAACCTAAAGGACCTGGGCACTGCCCTTGGGAACAGGGCCAGGAACTGTACAACAGAGGGAGAGACTGAGGATTTCTCATCCTCACATCTCAAATGCATTAAGGTGTATTCTATACAATCTTTACATACATAGCTCTTCCATTATTTCTTCTGGCTTTTGTCTCCAATTTTCATGGAACTACCAGGCCTTTCTTCTGACAGGTGGTCAAATAATTGGATCACCAGAATACTCCTGTGTTCAGTTCATTGTGCTTGTGTTGGAAACTACTGGGGAGCACTGCCTCATACCATGTTTGTATTGTGCTCTTGCAGCAGATTCAGATGTCAAACATTAGTGCTGTTAAGCAGGTTAATGTCACTTTGTCAAGAGCTCAAGTAACCCCTAATGAAGCTTTCTGTCTTTCCCTCTGCAGGTGGTAAGTCGAGTGGCAGCTCAGCAAGGATTTGACTTGGATCTTGGATACAGGCTACTGGCAGTATGTGCAGCCAACAGGGACAAATTCACTCCAAAATCAGCTGGTAGGAAAAGCTTTTTTGATGTATTGTTGATTCTCAGATGATCATATTCTGTAAAAAATGCTACCTATGACTGTCTTGCGTTCTGTAAAAAAACAAAACCAGAAGCAAACAGGTATTTGGTGCTTATAGCTCTGTTGCTTTTAGCATTTCAATGGCATGCTCTTCTGAGGATACTTGACTTTGGAAATTTATATTTTCCCCAGCTAGAGCTGTTTGTTGCCCTATTTGATCTCATGGATGAAATGCTGCTTCCAGAAGCACAGATGTTTAGTAATTTCATGGTGGGAATGAACACACTCAGACCCCTCTGTCTTGGTAAACCATTGATTTTCTGTCATGTGTCAACCTCTAAATGTTTCACATCTGTTCTGCACTCCCTGGTATATCTATTGCAAAACTCATACTCCTTGACTTCATGTGCCTGTGCAAATAAGTACCATGGTTCCTTGTACATCTAGTCCTTAGAATTACAATTTTGAGCCAAGAGTAGGTAGTAGTTCTAGTGCTGTAGTAACAAGTAGCCATTTTTCCAGTATTTTACAGCAATAATCTGTTACAGGTCTCTGATCAAGTAGCAATATTTGATCATGATGTATTGCCATTGCTCCTTCTAGAGATGTAGAAAATGCACTTAAGGGTCTTTCTGCTTCTCACATGTTCGATTTAACTGGAACATTTAATTCCGGTTCTCCTTTTCTTAGCTGATGAATGTCAACATAATGTTCACTGGCTTGGAAAACAGGAAGATAATTGTTTCATTCCAGACTGAGCGTGGATAACTTTTCTGCTTAGTACTAAACTGGTATGCAGTCCTCATTTTGGAACATCAGGAAAGGTTACCTTCTTCCAAAACAACGACTTTTGGCCAACTGATTGGGTGTTAATATTTCTTTTCATGTTCCTTTTCAGTTTTTATCAGCCCAAACATGGCTACCTTTTGTCCTAAGTGTTCTAAACAGTTCCTCATGCAGAAGTGGCTTTCACATCAAAGCATATTCACTGGACTTACTGTTTTATTTTTTTGTATGTGAAGGAACCATTAATCTTACTAAATGTTGAATAAGCTGTCTGATTTTCATCCAGGAAAACTGTGTGGAGGATAAAACGTTCTGTTGACCAAGCACAATGTCTCTTTTTTCTGACTTCCTATTAAGTTTATCCATTAGTTAGCTATCACATCTCTTCTTGGTTGTTTGGATTTTTTTTAAAAAAAAAGCTTATCAAGGAAGAATTTCCAGCTATGACAGCATTAAATTTTCTTTAAAATTTTAGTTTTTCCCCCCTCTTACTAATTCTTCCTGATGTGTGTCTCCATCAGTGTGTTAGAGGAGGTGAGGTGGAGAGTCAGATGTTGCAGTTCTTTTCCTTTAGGGCTCACTGAGAGTAGACTTGAGAACTGCTTGTCAGTCATCATGGTCTAGAAAAACCCAGTGTCAGTGTTTGATTTCTACCAGTAATTACTTCTTTTGAGGAACACATGTGAGATTTCTTTTTAACTTAGTGCTCTATACAGAGTTCACTCTTTCCCTTTTTAATTGATAGAATACAGGGAAAGCTGGTAAATCACATGCTCTTCACTTGATGTATTCTAAAACCCTTCTCAGTCCTTTACTTCCTATTTCTCAGTTGTATGTAGAAGTAATTTATTTTCAATAACCTTAAATATTTGGTTTCACAACTACTTTGGTTTTACTGTGTGTACAGTTGTTTCACCAGGTCTTCCTGGGGTTTCATCATGCCCATCTACATTATGCATTTTGTGCTCTTACTGTCTGTGTTAAATACTCATATTTTGGGGTATGCCATAACATATTTTGTGAAGTTTCCCATATAGCCCCTACTCTAAGGAAGTCACATTCACATAGGGGCTCTGAGAGCTACATCCTTGAATAGGCAGCTTTGAAAGATTGACAGACTGGGATTACAAATATGAGGTCATTTCAGAACATACAGACTTGTTTTAAAGGGTTATTTTCCACATCAGAGTGCATTAATATTTGCTGATTTCTCGTACAGCAGTGGCTCCACTCCTTCATTCAGTTTTGGTAAAAATGTTGAGCTTGTCCTTTGCTTTGTTTGTAGAGTGTGCTTCATTGAAAGCTGCTTTTTGTGACTTGCTTAAGTTGTTGTCAGGGATGCTTGCAGGTTGTTTTGAGAAACTAATTCTGTTTTCTTTTGTATCTAATGAAAGACACCTTCAACACTTCTTCCAGTCACATTCCTGCAGAAATCCCTGATGGAGATATCAAATGGCATTAATTTTAATGAATAAGAATTTGTTTTTCCCTTCCTCCAGGCTTAAGGGGAATTTACAATGGTTTGCATTCATTCCTCCAAGTATGAATTTAATGCTGCCAATGGGATCGCTCTGGAAACATTTTTAATCCATGTTGTTTAGTGTCTGACATTCTTAAATGCTTGGAGAAAAAAAAAAAAGACTTTATAATTAAAACATATTTGAGTAGGTGAACATTGGGGAAAATAATTGCACCGAATCCTTTCAAGGGCCATCCACTGTTGGTACCTCCTTACAGCTGGGGACAAGGCTTGTTGAGTGATGTCCTGCAGGCTGGGAGCCTGAAGGGGCCTGGCAGTGGTGGCTGGCAGCCTTGGCAGCTCTGCTGTGTGGAGCAGGTGGAGCCCTGCAGCCCAGTGTCCCTCAGGTCTGCTGGATGGCACAGATGCCTGACCCAGTGTAACCAGTATCCTGCTCCTGTTCCCCAGAGCTCCCACCCTAAACTCATTCAGGGAGCTCTCTGGCAGAAGAGCTTTTGCTGGCATGGCTTCTTTCCTGTTTGGCTGCTCCCTGAGCTGTGTCTCTGCGGGGCCCCAGGAGAGTCACGGTCCGCATGGCAGCGCCTGGGGATCTCACTTATCCCTGATGGAAGTGGGCTGGAGCCTGAGGCTGGAGGGCAGAGCATCCAGCTGCCAAATTGCTCAACTCTGTGGGAAAACCACCCCTTGGTTCTTGGAAATGTCCTCATGCTGTTTCATCCCAGCTGGTTTGAGCTGTTCTGGTGGTGCCTCCCTGCTAAGCTGGAAGGGAGGTGCAGATGGCGCAGCAGAGTCCAGGCAGGCATGGGGGGAGGCAGGGAGGGACAGGAGGCTGCAGCTGGGTGGGGCACAGCCTCAGCTGGGAAGGACAGGGCACCTGACCAAGAGCTGTCAGGTCCTTGGCTTCTCCCATCCAGGATTGTTCGGTATTGCCAAGACAGTGTTTGATGTGCTTTTTGGTGTTGTTTTACTTGGTCATTGAGATAGTTAGCAATTAGCTAATACAAATTGTTTTGGAGAATGCCTAGGGGGGCGGTTCATGTAGCATGAAAAGTATTAATAAGTTGCTCTGTGTGTTTTTAAATAGAAATGACGATTTAATGACTGTGCCTTTTGTCTCTGCTTTCTGGTGTTTGTACCTGAAATAATAGCTGCTGCCTTTTATTCTTCCAGTCTGTGCTGCTGCAGCAGGGCAGCAGCCTCAGCAGGAGGTCAAACACAGCATTTCCCACCCTGAAGACAAATGACAAAGCCTTTAAAAATATATGTGTCTCTTTTGGTGACAGCTGCTCCCCAGACCTTCCACTGCAAATTCCTTTGCCGTGTTGTGACACCTATGGGGAATGGCCCAGCAGGTTGTCTGCCTGCTCATTTGCTTCCAGACTGCAGAAACCTGAGTTGCTCTTAGTATGTGAGTGCATAGGTGTTTATGTATTCTGGCTTTTCTTCCTTAAACCTGAGTCCTTTCTCTCTGAACAGTGTTTGCTTGGACATTTTCTCAGCATATCTGATGCTTTTGTCCTTCCTGTAGAAGATTTTAAGTCATTTGGTAGCTTTCTTTTAACTGTTCAAATAAGGTGGAGATCAGCAGTTAAAGTGTTTATTAAAAAAAATAGGGGGGCTGGAAGAGAAAGAGAGAGAACAATTTTCTGTTCTGAGTTGTTTTTTTTTTAAGGTACTTTATCGAGCTACTGAACTTCATGGCTCTTGTTGCTACTTTTCTAGTTTTGCTTTTGTCAGGAGGCCAAGCTGAGGCCAGACAAGGGGACGACAGGATGAGATCATACAGGGAGCTTTGTCAGAAAAGGACAGTGTTCACTATCTCTGTAAAGAGAGAGAGGAAGGAAGAAGCCTGAGGGCAGAACTGTGCAGAAAAGGTACTTTAGCAGGCATTGAGCAGCTACAGCAAACAAATGCTGTGATAGCTGGGACGGGCAGCCAAATGTTGGCTGTTTGATAGCAGAAATAACAACCTTTTTTGATATCACTTTGCTTTCAGTCCCTTAGGCTGTGCTTGGTGTGCTTCTGATTTCACTTCTCAAGAGCAGTATTACTTAATAATCTTGATTTTATATGAAGCATGCACTAAAACGTCATCGTATTTGTGGACTCTATATTATGGGGGGTTTTAGTTCTTTAGCTTCAGTCATTGTACTGAAGCTGTGATATAAGAGGGCTGTTCTTGTGAGTAGAATGCCAAAGCTGTAATTAAATTGGGCCTTGGGTTAACAGGGGTATTTGCAGTGAGAGTGCTGGCAAATGGAGGTGTTAAAACATTACTGGACAAGATACTGAGACTGAAGGTATGTCCTGATCAGGATACATTTTCAAAGCAATAGTAGAGATTGGGCTAAGAGTATTTTGGTGTATTATCAAATCAAGCTCCCAGAAATTATATAAAAGGAGAGAAGAAATGATGTCATAATGTGAATGAATAAAAAGGTAGAAAGTAAGCATGACCTCTAGATCAGGGGGGACATAGGGCTAGATTAACACTTTTACAAAGTTTCCAGTAATTATGTTCACATTATCTGTGGAGGCAAGGCAAGGTGGCTAAAAGGATTACAAGTGTAGAATAGAAATTACTCCAGCCAAGGCTGATGGCATCTCTCCAGCTTGAAGGGACCAAATGATTGACAGGCCTGTGTTAGGAAAGAAACAGCATATAAATTGTCAGTCTCATGCCTCATACCAAAGATTTCCAGCAAGTCAAAATGGCCTTATAC